AATATCTAGCAAATATAAGAAACACTTCAAAAACAAGTGTTTCTATAATGATATCAGGTAATGCTGCAGGTGAAGTTCTATCACCTTTTTTAGTTTATAAAGCTGTAAATCTGTAGTCAACTTAATGTGTAGGAGGTCCTAAAGGAGTCAGATATTTCAACACTAAAAGTGGTTGGTTTGACGGAACAGCTTTTTTTTTCTATAGTTTTACCTTCTTTTAAAAAAAAATCAGGAATTAAAGTTTTGTTAGACGATAACTTATCCTCTCATATCTCTCCAAAAGTAATTAATGCTTGTGAAATAAATGAAATTCTGTTTGTTTGCCTGCCACCTAATAGCACGCATATAACTCAACCTCTAGATGTGGCTTTCTTTAAACCTTTAAAAAAAGCTTGGCGTAAAATTATTACAGAGTATAAAAATTTATTTAAAAACTTTGGCATATAAAATTCGCCGAATGGTCACACACGAGCAGTGAACGCCTGAGGGAAGAAATGAAGTACATTAGAATAAAGGAGGTTATTTATTAGACAAAGCATATTTTGACAGTTGTCAAGACAAAAATAAAGATTAATAGAAGAATAATTAAAAACAAATAAGACAAGCTATACAAACAAAACAGTACTCAACCATAATAACAATAAAAAAAGAAATTAAAAAAAAAAAAAAAAAAAAACCCATTAATAATAATAATAATATATATATATATATATATATATATATATATATATATATATATATATATATATATATATATATATATATATATATATATATATATATATATATATATATATATATATATATATATATATATATATATATATATATATATATATATATATAAAGATAAAAAAAAATAAAAAAAATCGTTTTATAAATACCAATATGAACTAAAATATACAAAAAATACATAATCAGTCAAAAATTTGTAAAACAAAAAATTAAACAATTCAACAAACTAAAAATATGCTAACAGCAATGAAAGGACTAATAATGGAAAAAAAACATTAATGCTAATGTGTAAACATAATCAGTGTAGTGATAAGTAATAAACATCTCCTCAGAGTCGCGTCTATTATTATTGGCGTTTCGATGAGGATCAGCATTTATAACTAGTTTATCCCGTCAGTGAAATATATGAAATTCTGTTTGTTTGCCTGCCACCTAATAGCACGCATATAACTCAACCTCTAAATGTGGCTTTCTTTAAACCTTTAAAAAAAGCTTGGCGTAAAATTATTACAGAGTACAAAGATTCTCCTGCTGGCTGCACAAAAACATCTCTTGAAAAACAACATTTTATAGAACTTTTGAACAAGTTAATTATTGCTATAGAACCAAATCAGGCTAACAACTTAAAATCAGGTTTTAGAAAGTGTGGTATTAATCCAGTAAATGTCAATCAACTTCTCACACAATTTAGAGAGAGAGAATCTACGATAAAGAATTTTTAGAAGACAGCTTTAAGATTTTTTTACAAGAAAAATATAAATCCAAACAGTCTCCAGAAACTAAAAAACAAAAAAAAAAGCTTTCTGTTCCTGCAGGGAAAAGTGTTGGCACAGAAGATTTAGAAAAATTTGAGTTTTGAACCATTATCAAAACAGTTTTGATAATGGCTCAAAGCTTGCAAAGAGAAAAAACTAAACAAAAACACGAAGAGCATAAAGTCAAAAGTTCATTCAAAAGAAGATCCAAAAGAGTGCCATGTTCTAGCTCAAAATCATCGAGTAGCATTGAAAATAAACTTGTTGAGAAAAAGAATAAGAATGAGAAGCCAAACTTAGAAAATTTGAGACATGTAAACTTTTTCCTGGACAAATTACAAATATCAAGGAAAACAGTGCTAATGTGAAGCCAATGGTAAAAATATTAAATGCTTTTCTAACACACAAGAAGATTTTTATGAATGGGACAATGTTTGTTTCACATCAAGGAGTCTTTATTTTATAATTTTAAAGTACCTCTATTAGACTTTCATTTTTCTTGAAGTTTATTTGTTTAACTTTTATTTTTTATTTTAAAGATATATAATTGTCTACATTGAAAAAAATTTTGTGTTTTTAGTTTTTAATGTGGCTATGTTTCTTTTTTTTTGACTGTAGTTTTTTTTTTTTTGTAAATTGTGGTACAACCCTCTCTCAACTCTTTAACTCCGAAACACGAACTTTGACAATCAAGACCGCTACGCGGAGAAATTAAGTTGAGCGCGATACTTCCAGGGACGTGGTGGGAGTCGTGGTGGGAGTCTTTTATTATGTTAATTTTTTTATTTACCAAAACAATAGTAAATCTGATTTTATTGTTTTATTTTTATTCGTCTTTAAACTCTCGTTAAAGTTTCCTTTAAACACTATAATAAATAGAGTTTAAATAGCAAAATTCATATAAACGGTAAAGTTTTTTGTCATATTTTATAAGGCTGTGCAAAGTTAGCCCATACCCAGGTTAACATAGGACATAATTTAGACACCCATGAAAAATCTTTCTTTAATGTTTAAAAAAATAAGTTCTTATAATAACGGTTTTTGAATAGTCCAAATAAAATTATTGGCAAGTTTTTATATATAATAGATACGTTTTATGCCAATTTTTAGAAGCACAAAGCAAAAAATTTCAACTGTTTGCGCAAAGTTACCCAAAGTTACGGTACGGGGTAAAGGTTTTAATAAGCTCAAAATATACGGAAAAGGTGCGTATGTGAACTTTCATTTTTGCTTATAACCTATTGCTCACTAAAAAATATTAAAAGGAGAAATATAGACAAAGTCAATGTGGAATAGAGTTTCTCCGTTTATAAGAAAAACAAACAATTTTATAAATCTCTTATAAGATCCACTTATATAAGATACTCTTGTAAGATCTGTATACGGAAAAGGTGCGCATGTTAGTTTTTTTTTTTGCTAATTCTGTCTGGACCCGCGCTTAAAGTAATTTATTTAGAAAATTTTAGAATTTTTTTATTTTACTAAACTATATTATAGTTAATAAGAAATGATTTGTGTGGAGTAAATTAGTATAGAAATGGTCGCTTTAGTAAAGACCCGTATTTTACTGATCTGGATAGCTAGGATATACATACAAAAAAAAAGTATAGAAAAAGTCGGCATAGAATAGATTTACAAAGACCCGTGTTTTATGGATCTGGTCAAGTGAAACTTTTTTACCAATACCAATGGTCACGTTTCAAGCAGGTATATAGACACGTATTAATATCCGATCGGCAATTTACGCAACGGTCGCCATAACATTTAAAGTTTATTAAGGTTAATTATAATAGAAATTTCATAGCTTTAAGAAGGAAAAATAAGTATAGTTTTGCTATATGTATATAACTATTTTTCTACAGCTCACTACAACATATTGAAGTAAGAAATAAGTATAGAAAAGGGCAATATGGAATAAATCTACCGAGACCTATATTTTACGGGTCATGATAGCTAGTCATATTTACAATTGCCAACGTGCTCATAATTTAATAATTATGTAACTGTGATGATAAGTGGTTTTGCTTTCATATTTAAAGCCAATACAATTAATTGTTTTTGTCACATAACATGTTGAGACCATCTCATTGGTCAGACTGTTACAAGATTGTGCAAGTACATGTATACCACTTTATAGAAATGTTTTACATCATAAACAGTAATAGGCTAAAAGTGGCTGTTACGGTTTCAGTGACGATATATTGGTTTATTTTGATTTATGCAGATAGTTTTTGAGAACAATTAAAACATTTCTCTTTAAACCAAAGTCAATATCGCTCATAATCTATAATATACCAACAATAATTACATCGACATTTTTACTCATTTTTCTTTTCATATTTTTAGTCGCATTATAAGATTTTTACTCTCATGAATTATTTTGCTGCAAAATTTTTGCAACCAAACCGCGTTGTATGGTCTCTTAATTCAGGGGTTCCGAGTTCGAAACCCTCTCAAAGTACATGGGAGTGCTGCTAAAGTGGTTTCATTGTAAAACAATCTAATTATATCTCCATTTTCAAATTAACTAGTACAATAGTTATAACTACTGTACTGGTTAAGTTGAAAATGGAGAGCCTACTCATTAAATATTAATCCTCATATGGCGGTATTTTGTGATGAAAGCATTGGAAACCAAATAACCATTAAAAAAACATTGAAACAACCAACTTATAAACAACAAGAATACTCCAAATTTTTTTACGCTCACATGTATGACAAAAAAATTCTTAAAAAAAAAAAAAAATTACTGTGATAGGAGTAATTACTGGAACAAGAAACCCTAAAATTTTAGCCCCTCCCCCACCTTCTTGCCCCAAACGTGAGAGCAACAAGTTGATAAATTTTTTTTTTGTACTATTTTCAACTAAACTTATATTCATCGAGAAATTTTAAATTTCATAGTAAACTATTTTAGTTTTCAAAATTTATGACTATATAAAGTTTGCAACTCCCACAAATTGAGGGGTTTAAACTTTATATGGTCATAATTTTTGAACACTAAAATATTTTACTATTAATAATTTTACTATATTTAACTAGACTTATATTAATCGAGAAATTTAAAATTTCTCGATTAATATAAGTCTAGTTAAATATAGTACAAAAAATATTTCATCAACTTGTTACTCTCACGTTAGGGGCAGGAGGGTGGCCAAGATTTTAGGGTTTTTTGTTCCCATTCTCCTATCACAGTAATTTTTTATTTAAAGAATCTTTCCGTCATACGTATTAACGTAAAAAAAAATATTCTTGTTGTTTATAAGTTGGTAATTTCAAATATATAAAAACCTTTCTACGCCACTGATTTAAAAGGTAAGAAGCTTTTTATAAAACAAGGTTCGTCTGTAACTTGGTGTTTATACAGTATATTGAAATAACACTAGATTTCAAATAATATTAAAAAACATTTTAAAGAGAGCAACACACACGCACACAAACGCGCACATTTTCGTTCAAACAACATCCAACTAATTAAAAATGAAATAAAAACAATAAAAAAACATTTACCCATCCATTGTTGAGTGTGAAACATAAAAACCTGTTCGTTATTTCCTTCCAACTTCAAACATGTAGTATCATTTAATTTATTTGATATATTTGTCTCAAACTCGTCGTTAGTAATAACTAACCATTTTCTATAAGTTTTATCATATGTCAAGTAAGTTTTTTGATTTCGATGTATTCCATACAAGTCTCTAGTAAATGTGTGATGACCCAAAATCGAGCCTACGCGTAGATCTAATCCTTTGAAAAATAGTTATAGGAAAACCAATAAAATAAACAGTTTTTCAACGCAATGTAATGAATCTAACTTTTTTTGTTAAAAAAAATAGATTTTTATAGTTACTTTTCCATTGTTCTCCATAGTTGGTTGACTTAAAGCATGCTGTGTTATGACTAAAAATAAAGTGAACAAGTACACTAGAAAAAAGTTTGTGAGTTAATAAAAATCTTTCCAAAAAAAAAAAAAATTGTTAAAACCTAAATAAAACAAAAATTACGTCTCGACATAGAGATTCATGCAGGCGTAAATTGATGACTCGATTTCATCCAGGCATATTCCTCGGCCATAGCTTCCTTATAACAAAAAAAAAAAAAAAAAAAAAAAAAAAAAAAAATAAACTTTAAGGAATCTGTAAAATAAAAAAGCAGCAACAATTTCATCATGTTCAAAAGAATTCGGGATATATATACATATACAAAATTCGAGAAATATATGCAAATACATATACATACCCAGTGGGCACCCGACGTCAATCCGACGTCGGATTTACGTACGATTTTCATCAGCGATGTCAAAAGACCTATTCCGACGTTGTTCCGATGTCAGTAAAATGACGTTGGGCGATGTCTTTATCTTAACATCTCTTGACGTCGTTTCGATGTATTTTGACGTTGTTCGGACATCTTATAAAAGACGTCCAAAAAACGTCGCAGTACTGACATCGATTCAACGTCGATAAAAAGACGTCGGGCAACGTCATAATATTTACGTACTCCGATGTCTTTTGACGTCTCCCGACGTCAATCCAACGTCCTTAAAACGACGTCGGAACAACGTCGTAAGACATCGCTGATGAAAATTTAATCCAAACCCAACAATATGTGTGCAATTGCGCTCTTCAATAAATATGTGAACTAAGCGTGTTTTTTATTAATGGAAAGAAGTTTGAATAATGGTTGATAAAACATCATGAGGTTTTGTATGATGCACTAGCATAGTTTTTTAACTATTAACATTTTCGAGTATACATTTTTTATAATATATAACTATTCGTTTTAATATTTATATAATATTTAAACAAAATTATTTCTTATCAAAGTAATAATTCCCAAATAGCTACAAGTATAAACTACTAAATAAACACATTATATAATATGTTCAGTGGTGTAGTGGTAAGCGCGTAGGGTTTAGTTTCTAATAGACCGAGGTTCGAATCCTGCGTATGGTACGTTTTTTAGCTTTCAAAAAACACGTTGGATTTACATCGGAATGCCGACGTCGCGCGATGTCAGTTTATCCGACGTCAAATAACATTTCCATTTCCAACGTAAACCCAACGTCGATCCGACGTCGAGATCCGACGTCGCTCGACGTTCGTTCGACGTCCAAATGCCCACTGGGTAGACGCCTCTAGGGGGCGTCTATGGAGTAGTCATCTGTATAGAAGCTTTGAAAGCAGCTTTTAAAGATTGTTGATTAAGTTTTATTTCTAAATTATTTTTGGAAAGGAACAAAATACTTCAATTATTTATACTTTAATTAATTTAAATTATAAACTAGTTTAAAACCGTGTTACAAAATTAAGGCCTCGTTATCTAAATTATAACAAAAGCATTATAAAAAAAAGTAGCAGCGAATTCCGTTTAATATTTTATTAAGTTAAATACATTTTAACGGATATCAAGAGGAATTACATTCTCTGATGAAGAAAAAGGCAAAATTGAAGCCTACAAGTTAATATGTTTATTAAACAGCACAAATGTTTGCATGCTGAGACGCTCACTACGTTTAATCAATAATTTTGTAAACAATCCAAAGAACTGTTACAAAAAGTATCAAAGAAGTAGAAGATTGATTCTTACAGCTCGCCAGCTGCAATAAATATGGGCATGACGCTTAGTTTCCGCTAGAAAATTTGGCTCTGGTTTGGGATTGAAATGCTCAAGGAGTTAGGAGAATTGTAAAATTAAGACGTCAGGCAATCTCATATATGCAAAAAAAGCACATATTCAGTACTAACTAAAGCGCATTTAAACGCACTTATCTTCAATGGGCCAGCGACAGCATGACTTGGAAAAATTACGTGGTCCAATGACAAAAAATTTCATCGAGAGAGTCCAGATGGCTTCACTTATTACTGACATGAAATTAGAAAAGTGAAAAGATTTTTTAAAAAAAAGCTATGGGAGGTGAGGAGTAATGATGTGAGGTGCGTTTGGTTTTTTATAAAAATTTAGATTCGCTTTAGTATTAATAAATTAAATGCGAAAAAAATAGAAATAGATTTGATTATTATTTAAACGAATATTTTACGAACTTTTTTTCCAGCAAGGTAATGTCCAAATCATAGAGTAAAGTCAAATATCCTATGGTTCACAAGCAAGAAAATTTGTTCACTGGAATGGCCTGCGCTTTCACCCAATTTAAATCCCAACGAAAACATATGAAGCGTCTTAGTAAGGCGTGTTAATGGAGAAAAGAAACAATATTCAAATGTCGATGAGTTGAAAATAACTATTGCACATGTTTGGAAGAACATATCTTTTGCTGATGTCAGAAAACATTCGGAAAGTATGCCAAATCAAATATTTGAGGTCATTCAGAATTGCGGCAATAAAAACAAAGTATTGTTAATAAAATTAAATTGAGATCAACACATCAACAAATTTTGTTGAAAAAATTGAAATGAATTTTTAATTTTGTTTCACCATTTTTTTTAAATTTTCAAATCAATTAACGAAATGAAACTAGACTGTTTTATAAATGAAATATTAATTAAGGTGCTATGCAGTTGAATAATTTAGAAA